AAAGGGGGGCCCCGCTTAAAAAAAAAAAAAAAAAAAAAAAAAAAAGTTACTTGTTAGTTTTGGGTAAGACTTAACACTAGATCCATTTATTAAATATAGAGTAAGTTTACACACATTTTGAATGTCACTTCTTGTGATTAAATCTCCTGTTTGAGAGAGAAAAGTAAACTCAACACAAAAATCTCCGACAATCATTCATTTACATGTATTACAGCCTTAGCAAACATCTTAAATCCACTACCTACACACTAAGAACGCTCCTGGAAAAGAATTCCATAGCAAACAATGAAATAGAACATTTAACATGCAGTATTTAGTGACATTTGATCAAGAGATAGCATTTGTAATAGAAATGTGTTTAAATAACCTTATATTTGTGTGTGAGCACTCATTGATGTCTGTGAATGTGGCTAACATGTCAAAGAGCTTGTTGGAAGACAGAACAACTTCAGGTGTCATGTGTCCCGCTCTATCTCAATTAAACCACAGCCTCTTTGGATTTCTTAACTTTGTACACCAGGCTATATGGCATATTTTCCTGTGTCTGCCTTGTACAGCATGCTAGACATGTTGCAAATGGCTCTGTGCACTACTTTCTGGTTTTACGTGGCTTCTGTGCACTTGAATTCTCAAGTTTTCAAAGCATGTTATGAGTTCTTTACCTATAAAGTCATCTCTCTAACCCAAATACGTTTAGGATGTTCTTGACATTGTGAGACTCAGAAAGGACAGATTGTTATACAAGTGAATAGCATCAAGTTATTTGACACAGGGATGATGAGGCCATTATTAAGCCAAAGGACATGAAAGCCAATGTCAGATCCTTTACAAGGAGGAATTTTTGTAAAATTTATAATACTCCTATTGAAATCTGTCCTCAGTACAATGTTATGGAATGGCAGTAGCTTGTTTATCACCTACATTATTTCAGACGCATGGCAAGGATGGCTGAGTTTTTTCAAGGATAGAAGTGACTGGAGTGATCAATACATTTTCTAGAAATGACGAGTCATGAGGTAGGTCCCTAGTAAGTTAATCCGTGTGGGGCAATGGTATCCTATTCAATATATCAGTCATATTTTCTTCGTGTGGTCTTTTTTCCTCCAGTTTTCCTTAAGATGTGCTTTCATTTAAGCATCAGAAACAGGTTTAAGCCATTACTGTAGCCTCAGAGAACTCCTGAAAGGTGTTGCAGCTAGGACACATTCTACCTTAGTTACAAACTCTAGCTGGAATGTTTAAGTGACACATCTCAGTATCACATCGCATCTTTTATTACATATAAGGAATAAACTTTATTATACTAATTCAGGAATTTGGGGGGCTAGAACTGAAAATATCCTTTAATCATTTTACCTATGATGTTAGGAGTCACCTGAGGTGCACTGTTGGTCACCTGTAGCTGATTTAGTGGGCATCCCATCAGGGAAACTTGGACAGCATTAACCTTCAAGAACAGCCGTCACTGAATGTGAAGGCCCCTCCTCACATTGGAGAATTTGACAATGTCCCTCACCAGTGAAGGGGCAGGGAGCGTTTTCTTCTAGAATTCCATTTAACAGTTGTTCTTTTGCCATTAGTTACATTATAGCTTTGGAAATCACTACCCCTCTTCAAACTTTGTGTTTTTGTGAGGCAGCAGGTACTGATCAGCCAAGGGAAACATATCATTTTGAGGGCTGAGCTTGTTGTAATTAGGATTGTTTGTCTGGTCTTTTGGACTGCCCTATTTTATTTTGCTGAAAATGCAAAAGGCCAGATACCAAAGCTAGCTTAAGAGTGGGTACTACTGCATGCTTTTATAAACTCTTAATGCCTTGACTGACTACTGAAATAAGTACCTAGTAATAGTCTATATTTCCTAGGATGAATATGATCCTTTACATACTGTAATCTTCCCCTTTATCTCTTATAACCCTCTCTGTAACTGCCACAACCTATGGTAGCGCACTGAAGCTTTTTAGTTTTGTCATCACTATTTCCTGTTTCCACTTTGGAACAGTCCATATTTTAGGACAAAACTACCACACAAAATCCAATTTTACCTAAAAAGCAGTAGTCTTTAATCTGTGATCATTTTAACCTAAATATGTATTTCTATAACTTTGTGTTTCTATCCTTGATGGTTTACATCCTTTTTCCTTTTTAAAATAAAGCTTAGCGGTTAAGAGCGGGTTCGATTCCCAGCACCCACATGGTGGCTACGAACCATCCTTAACTCCAGGTCCAGGGGAATCAGAATCCCTCTTCTGACATCCGCAGTATTGCACAACACGGGTGCACTCACCTGCATGCAGGCGATACACTCATGCACATAAAATAAGTAAATAAAAAAAAAAATAGGAAATAGGGGGCTGGAGAGTTGGCTCAGCTGTTAACAGCATTGAGAACCAGTAGCCAAATGGCAGCTAATCACCACCCATAACTCCAGTCCCAGGGACTCCAGCACCGGCTTCTGATCTCCATGGGCACTGCATGCGTGTAGTACATTTACATATATGCACATAAAACACTCATACACATAAAAGAACGAAGAAAAAGTCAGTATACTTCAATTTTAATTGAATAATACTCCAATGAGGACACAATCTGTACATGAAACCTAGGCAAAGCATGTTAAGTGTTCTGAAGACATTTTCATTTATTTTCACAATAAATTTAAACCGCTTTTTTGAAATTTAATTCCTTTTGTTAGAGTCTTAGAAACTGTTTTTGTTAAAAGACGTTTTCCTGGGGCAGCATGTAGGTGAAATGATCAAATGCAGAAGATTGTGTACGCTATAGAACTCTGCCAATGGGGGGGAGGGGGAATCACCACCCATCAATTCCGTTTCTCTGCAACCCACCCTGTTACCAGAAACTATGCAACAAAGAATGCTGGAGAGGAACAGACGCAACAGAAGGTGCATGTGCCAAGAAAGGGGCTCAGTAGATGAGCTCAGAAGTGGTGTTAGAGTCCAGCAATATCTGTGTGCACAAGAGAGGCTGACAACTCAGAAGCTGCTTGGTCCACACAGCTGGTGCCTCGACAGTTCCATTCTGGCAGTGAAGACCTGGAAATTTCCTAGAGTTGCCATTTTGCAGTCTCTCACTGGAGGATTAGAGCAACAACAGCAGTGGCCACAGGAGTAGCACACTCAGCATTAAGGAAACATATGCAGGCAGGAAACATTGTCTTTGTCTCAGACATCTCTATATCCACACCACAAATAATGAAGTGCCAGTCATAAACTTGGTCTGTTCTCAATCACAGCCTGGCTGATGGATGTTTAGACAGGACACATACCTAAGTCAACTTGTCCCTTAAGAGACTGGCAAACACACCATATAGGACCTATGACTATGAATGAGGGATGCAAATATGCTCTTATGCGTGGGCAGTGCCACAGGTCTCTTACAAGCATTTCTATGCAAGCAAGGAACAGGTAAAGCCACCATTCAGAGTTTCATCCAGTTCAGTGTTATGTGTAAGTGCCCATATAGAATCGACAGTGACAAGGCTACTCAGTTCACAAACACTGACGGCACAGACCTGAAATAAAGACAAGCACAAAGTTATGCTCATCTACCTTTCAAGGCTACTGGGGTTAATCATTTAAGAATGGGTTATTAAAGCCAGGCATGGTGGCACATACCTTTTATTCCAGCATTTGGGTGGCAAAAGCAGGCGACCATCCAATAAAATCAAAAAGGCTATGGCCAGTACTGTTTGGTTACATGCCAAAACTAGATGGTAAGACCCCATTCCCAAAGTCACCACATGTTTGGTGGCAGGGCCTTGAGAAACAATGCTAGAAGTCAGGTGGAAGCTCCCTCCATACTGGGTGGCATGGTGCCAGGTGTTATGCAGATTGTTGGGGAAGAACTGCCACCAACAGTCATGCTCAGCTGTAGATCCTCTGTGCTACAGTACCAACAGGCCAGGCAGGATATGCCTACTGTACAATAGTGGCACAACAATCATGGTATAACCAACAGCTTTAGGATTGAATTTACAGTCCATTCCACAAGGAGGAAATTCATGTCTGGTTATTCAAAAATATTTTATTTTTATGTGTGTATGTATTGCCTGCATGTAAGTAAGTGCACCCATGTCGTGCAGTGCCTGTGGAGAACAGAAGAGACTATCAGATCCCCTGGAACTGGAGTTACAGTTGTTAGCTGCCAGGTGGGTGCTGGGATTCGAACCTGGGTCTTCTGCAAGAAGTCAGTGTTCTTAACCACCGAGTAGAAAGGTCATAGGCCCCAGTAGGGAGGCAGTTAATGTTTTGTTAAGTGCATGTGATGTGTCTCTCAAATCACCTCAAAAAAAAAAAAAAAAAAAAATCGAGCTAATGCCTATAGATTAGTTCTTATCAACTGCAATCCATCATGGAAGGAGATGTCCTTACACAAAGGATGGTGTACCACAGAGACTCACAAACAATGATGAAGGTCTTGAGAACAAGTATTGCTTTTCCACATTGGCTCAATGTTGATCCATAACTGGTCATTTGTATCATCCCCTCCAAGGCTCTAAAAGTGCTACAAAACAGTGTAAGAGCAAGAGGAAGAAGAGTCTCAAACAGTGGTGGAATTTGGAACTTTGATAGCTCAGTCCTTTCCCATACTGTTAAATTCTGAGAGGTTTGACAGTGAGTTCTTATCTGTAAATGAAGTGAATTCTTACATATAAAGAATTTATGAAGCTTTTTTGAAAATACCACTAGGATTTTTCTCCCATGAATTGATAATCAAAGAACATCGTAGAGTATAACTGCCCTATTATGTAATTTCAGGAAGTACAACATCTAAAGTCATTGTTGATATTCACAGTTCTTAGGCACAGTGAATTTGTTTTATGTGTATCCTCAAGAAACAATGAAATTTAAAGGCTTTTTCACATTGTTTACACTGTCCAGGTGTTTCTCCAGTATGAGTTTTTTCATTCCTTTTAACACAAATGGGGTCTCTGAAGGCTTTACCACAGTTTACCTTTACAGGGTTTTTCCCAGTATGATTTTTTTTCACATACTGCAAGATCACTGTAATGTTTACATTACATTGTTTACATTTATAGGATTTTTATCCAGTATGGATTTTTCCATGTAACTGAAGATTACTGTAACGTATAAAGGTTTTACCACACTGTTTACATTTATAGGCTTTATCTCCAGTATGAATTTTTTCATGTCTTTGAAGATCGCTGTGACAGCTAAAGGATTTGTCACACTGTTTACATTCATAGGGTTTTTCTCCAGTATGAAGATTTTCATGTCTTTTAAGACTACTGTGATACATAAAGGCTTTACCACACTGTTTACATTCATAGGGTTTTTCTCCAGTGTGATGTTTTTCATGTAACTGAAGGTAACTGCGACATCTAAGGCCTTTACCACACAGTTTACATTCATAGGGTTTTCCTCCTGCATGAAGTTTTTCATGTCTTTGAAGATGACTATGATGTTTAAAGGTTTTACCACATTGTTTACATTCCTTGGGTTTTACTACAATGTGGATTTTCTTATGTCTCTGAAGATGACTATGACGTAAAAAGGCTTTACCACACTGCTCACATTCATAAGGTTTTTCTCCAGTATGAATTTTTTCATGTTCTTTAAGAATACTGTAACATCTAAAGGCTTTGCCACATTGTTTACAATCATAAGGTTTTTCTCCAGTATGAATTTTTTTATGCAACTGAAGACTACTACGATGTCTAAAGGCTTTACCACATTGTTTACATTCATAGGGTTTTTCTCCAGTGTGAATTTTTTCATGTCTTTTAAGAGAACCTTGATCTTTAAATGTTTTATCACATTGTTTACACTGATAAGGTTTCTCTCCAGTATGTGTTCTCTCATGTCTTTGAAGGTAATAGTCGTATCTAAAGGCTTTACCACATTGTTTACATTCCTTGGGTTTTACCATAGCATGAATAATTTCATGTCTTTGAAGATTACTATAATGTCTAAAGGTTTTACCGCATTGTTTACATTCCTTGGGTTTTTCTCCAGTATGAATTTTTTCATGTATTTTAAGATTACTATAATGTCTAAAGGTTTTACCACATTGTTTACATTCATAGGGTTTTTCTCCGGTATGAATTTTTTTATGTAACTGCAGAGTATTGTGATGTCTAAAGGTCTTAAGACATAGCTTACATTCATAGGGTTTTTCACCACTATGAATTCTTTCATGTACCTGTAAGGAACCAGGAAACGTAAAGGTTTTACCACATTGTTTACATTCATAGGGTTTTTCGCCAGTATGAATTCTTTCATGTCCTTGAAGAGAAAGGGAAGAACGCAGAGGCTTACCACATATATTACATGGATAATATTTTCTTACACTTTGAGTTCCTCCATGTGTACGAAGTGAACTAACATCAACAGAGGCCCTTCTACATTCCTTGTACTGATAGAGATTTTCTGCATTGTGTCCTTCTTGATGTAATCCCAATGAACGTGGAAAATCAAAAGATTTTAAACATGTCTCATATTCACGAGGTCCATTCACATTGTGAGCTCTCATATGTCTTTGACAGCTTGTGAGAGAGTTAGAGTTATGTTCCTTGTGTCCATATTCCTCATGCTCATGTGGTTTATGTTGAGGGTGAGATGTAATACAGTTATTAAAGGATGAAAAATACACGGAACCCTTTCTAAACAAATTGTTTTCGTAAAGTGTCAGTTCACTAGAAATTTTCATGCTCATGTTGACATCTGCTATCCAAGTGAAAGTTTCTCCATCCAGACTATCTTCTCCATCTTCATAGAGTGTCTCAAACACAGAACTTCTGTAAACACGAAAAGTATATTAGTAAGTCAATTTATTACTGAGTGCTTATTACAATGTACATGTTATCAGTGTCAGGTAAAGCATATGTCTTTTGCTGAAAGGTCTGAAACTAAATTGATAAGATGATTCTACAATATGGCTCCCACAGACCTATGATAAAAAGAATGGCATTCATTAATATAAGTTCCTAGTATCATTTACAAGTATCATCTGCAAATATGGAATAGCATTGTAAAATTTAGTACATTTCCTAATGAGGAAAGGACTTAAAGTTGTGTTTATTTATTTTGCTTGTTTATTCATAAATGTTCACATTAAAATTATTTAAATGTGTCACTGGAGAGACGGCTTAGTGATTAAGCTCAGTACCTGCTTTTCCAGAGAACGAGAGTTCGGCTGCAATCACCCACTTCACGTGGTTTACAACCTCTTGCAATTCCAACTCCAAGCCAGGCATGCGCCATGAGTCCAACACCCTCTTCTGGCCTCCTTGGGAACCTGCAGAGAGAGAGAGAGAGAGAGAGAGAGAGAGAGAGAGAGAGAGACAGACAGACAGACAGACACACACACAAACACACACACAGACAGAAACAGAGGGGAGAGAGACATAAACATAAATAATAAAATGAATCTTTAAAAAAATTTCTTCAAAGGAACTTTGCTTCCACTTTTACATATAAATTACCTTGGGTTTCTTGCAGGACGTTTATAATGGCCTTCAAGATTCTGGTCTTTCCACTTGTTTCCTAAAAATGCAGACCCAGGAAATTTATGAATTATACATTACTGAAAAGCAGTTTCTAGCATCACTGTATATTGAATCATCACTGATTCCTATACCACATTCTTCTCTTTCAATATTCCAAAATGCAGATGACTAGCAATACAGAGACATCTTTTTGCCCAATTTACAAAGGTCATATGGTATTTTTACCTATAGCAGCGAGGTTCCTGCAGGTCTCCAGCATCACATCTCTGTAGAGGTTCTTCTGAGAAGGATCCAGCAAAGCCCACTCTTCCTGGGTGAAGTTCACAGCAACATCCTCAAACGTCACAGAATCCTAAGGATTCCATATGTTCAATTGATAATATGTTGATACAATTCTGTGCTATACACACAGTTTTACTCCTATGACATACAAATTCTAATGCAAGCATGGAATGGCTTAGAAAGGAAAGATCGGAAAGATCACAAGGCCAGGTGAGGTGGCTCACGCCTTTAACCAGCACTTGGAAGGCAGAGGCAAGCGGATGAGTTCGAGGCCAGCCTGGTCTACATAGCAAGGTCCAGGACGGCTGGGGCTGCAGGGAGGCCCTGTCTCAAAAGACAAAAAAAAAAAAAAAAAAAAAAAAAAAAAAAAAAAATATGACAAAGCCAAGGATGGGGGTGACCCCAGTTGAGCAGGAAAGATCACTGTAGAAACAACCCTCTCATTACTGAGCCCAGGGCATAGTTATGCTGTTGCTCTGCTTCGACTTTCTTTCTACACTGAATTTCTACTTCTTGTCTGAAGAAAGTCCTACTACTTGATGTAGAGAACAGTATTAACATTAGCATGCAAGAGTCTGCTTGACCTTAGAAATTCCTGAAGTTTTGATGGTGTGAGGAAATTGAACATTTTGGTAGAGATTATATAAACATAAATGAAAAGTCATTCATAAATGATTTATATAAGCTTTATGAACTCATTCTGAAAAATCTATTCAAAACTCACAGAAATAATTAAAGAATCAGCCTCTATGCCCCTAAATAATAGTGGGCATTTAGTGTAATGAGTTTCCTTGGGGGGCACAATTTCACACATCCATCACAACTTGTTAAATGGGCCCATTCTATGAGCTTACAGAAGAAATCACTTAGATGCTATAAGGATTTTACTCAAGAACAAATTTTTAAAGTAACAAATATGATACATGATCAATATTAAAGATCCTAAAGTAATACTTTTTGAATTTTATATAAGTAATACCAAGTGAGGCTGGACTAGGTATAAGATGAGTGCGTTTTAGAAAGAACTCAAGTGTATCAGTGATGCTGACATAGCTGCATCAGAAAATGAGATGGAAGTTTCACTTGAGCACAGAATCCAAGTCAGCCAATGCAATACAGCAAAACACCCACCTCCAGAAGAAAGTGAAGAAGCAGGAGGATGAGGTAGGGAATGAGAGGTAAGGCAGGAAGTACATTGCCAACAAAATTCATGCCTCCCTTATGATACTTTAGAACATCTCTTTAATCTTCCAGACAGATATTTTTGGAATCACCAAATATTATATTTCAAAACTGACTAGTAATAATACATGTCTATCAATTGCCAAATTGTTATGAACCATTAAAGCACAAGCTGGAGTCCAGCCTGGTCTACATAGCTGGAGTTCCAGACCACACAAGGGCTACACAGTGAGACTTTGTCTTAAAAACAACAACAACAAAACCCAAAAAACAACAAGGCACTCCCCTTTCTAGCCTTGGGCCTAGGCCAGCTCCAGCTCTTCTGCCTCAGATCTTTGAACTAGCTTCCTAACCCAGACTAGCTCAATCCTCTAGCTTAGTTTGTTGGCCTGGCACAGAATGTCCCCACCCCCCACCCTGTCCTTGGACTCCTGATCTGCCTGCCTCAGAACTGTTTACCAATTCGGTAAGTAAGATCCTGCCCACTGCACCTTGATTCTCCTGGAGCCTGGAGAATCCCACTCTCCCTGAACTGTGTCTCTCTTCTAGCCTTGGGCCAAGGCCTGCCCCTGCTCTTTCAATCCCAGATCTTTTGGAATATTTTTTTAGTCCAAACCTGCCCACTGCATCTTGATCCCTTTCACCTGTACTACTAGGTTGATTCTGGAGCTTTATTCATTAGACCATTCACAGGTTGTCCCCACCTCCATCCTGTCCCTGGACCCCCCCCCGACTACCATACACCTTCCTATTACCCAGGTCAGCCTACTACCCTGTGAGAACCTGAAGCACATACCACTAACATTTCATACCTGAGCAAAAAGCAACCAAGCTACATCAACAATATAAACAGAACCCAAACTTCAACTACACAAAGGGAGAGTAGAATTTCCTATCCCACAACTAACATAAGATATCCATATGCCCAAATGACAATCCAAACCCCAAATAATATGAAAAACCAAGAGAATATATCCCAAATAAACCCCACCAGACCTGTAGAAGTGTACTGCAATGAGAATCACCCTAAGGAACCCCACAGTGCAGGATTTAAAAGAACAATCATAAACATGATCAAAGAATTTAAAGAATATAGAAACAACTCAAAGAACTCAAAGAGGAAAGTCATAAACTTGTGACAGAAGCTCAAGAAAATACAAATATGCAGCTGAAAGAAATAACAAGAATACTTCAGGACTTGAAAAGTGAATTCACAAAAGAGGTAGAACTACTGAAGAAAACCCAAGCCAGAATGAAGACTGAATTGAAAAACTCAGTAAGTCAATTTGAAACAACAGGAGAAAGCCTCACAAGCAGAATGAATGAAATGGAAAACAGAATATCAAGACTAGATGATAAAGTTGAAGAACTGAACTCCAAGCAAAGACTATAAAAATTTAAAAACACACAAGAATGGAATATGCAGGCAAAGTGGGACATCATGAAAAGACCAAATCTACACATTATAGGCATACAGGAAGGAGAAGAATCTCAGGCCAATGGCATTGACTGTATCATCAACAGGATTACAGAACAAAACTTCCCTAAATTAAGGGAAGACAAACCTATACGGATACAAGAAGCATGCAGAACACCAATTAGACAGGACCAGACCAGAAACGCCCCATGGCATTTCATAGTAAAAACACTACATGTACAGAACAGAGGTCATTGAAAGCTACTAGAGAAAAACAAGTTACATTTTAACAGAAAAACAACCAGAATTATAGATGACTTAAAGTTTTTTAATTGTATGTATATGAGTATATTGTCTGCATGTAAGTGCACCTATATATACAGTACTTGTGGAGGTCAGAAGAGGGCATCAGATCCTCTGGAACTAGAGTTACAGATGGTTGTTAGGTGCCATGTGGGTGCTGGGAATTGAATCTGGGTCCTCTGTAAGAACAGCCAGGGCTCTTAACTGCTGAGCCATTTCTCCAGTCCCTACAGTTGATTTTTCAATACAAACTAAGAAAGCTAGAAGAGCCTGTACCAAAGTATTCCGAGTTCTAAATGACTATGGATACCAACCCAGAATAATTTACCCAGTAAAAATTATCTATCATAGTTGAAGGGGAATGGAAAAATTTCCATGACACGAATAGGCTGAAAGAATACATGTCCACCAAACCAGGCCTAGAGAGAATACTTGAAGGAATATAAAGGACCAAAGATTGGAATTACTATGCCCAAGAGGTTACAGAAAGAAAACAAAGCAGGGCATAATTACTGAAACACAATATTGGACCAAGAACACAAACAAATTAAAATGACATAACCAATATACATCTTTGAATAATAACTTTTAATAATGGCATTAACTACCCAGTCAAAAGACACAGGCTAGTGGAATGGATTAAGAAACAAAATCCATCTTTTTGTTGTCTTCAATAAACTCATCTCCATGGGAAAAAAGATGTTTCAAGCAAAGAGCAGCAAGCAGGGATTCCAAGTCTAATATGATGAAATAGACTTCAAATTAAAACTAATCAGAAGAGATAAAGAGGGTCACTTCACTTTAATCATAAGAACAATTGATAAAGAAGATATTACAATCATGAACATATATGCTGCAAACTCTGGTGTACCCAATTTCATAAAAACAGTACTATAGAAATATAAAACATAGATTAACCACAACTCAGTAACAGCTGAATTCAATACCCCACTGTCTCCAATAGACAGGTCATCTGCACAAAGAATAAACAGAGACATTTGAATTAAATGACATTTTACATCTAACGGACCTAACAGACATCTACCAAATATTCCACCCAAGCACCAAAGAATACACGTTCTATTCAGCAGTCCATACAAATTACTCTAAAATTGACCACATCCTGGGGCACAAAATAAACCTCAACAAATACAAAACAAATGAAATAATTCCATGCATTCTATCAGATCACAATGCAATGAAGCTTATAATCAACAGCAAAGGAAGCTCTAGTAACTAGATGAGCTCAAAGGGATTAAGCAATGCATCCCTGAAGGATGAATGGGCCAAAGAAGAAATTAAGAAAGAAAAAATATTCCTAGAAATGAAAAGGATAACACAACAAAACTTCTGGGACACTTTAAAAGCAGTCATAAGAGGGAAGCTTATAGTCTAAGTTCCTGCAATAAAAAACTAGAAAGAGCACACAGAAATGACTTAACAGTACAACGCAAAACTCTGGAAGGGCAAGAACAAACCAAACTCAAATGTAGCAGACACGAAGACATAACAAAAATCAGAGTAGACTTAATGAAATAGAAACAAAATACAAAGAATCAGTGAATTTAAGAGCTGATTCTTTGAAAAGTTAAACATAGACAGACTAATCTTAGCTCAGTTAACCAACAGAAAGAACCAATCCAAATTAACAAAATCAAAGATGAGAGGTGAAACATTACAACAGACACATACAAAAAAAACCAAAACCAAAAACAAAAAACCCATAACATTATAAGGGAATACTTTAGAAACTTATAGTGTATTAAATTTGAAAATCTAAAAGAAATGGAAGAATTTCTAAATTCATGGAAACCACCAAAGTTCAACCAAGAAGAGTTCAGCAGCTTAAACAGACACGTAACAAATTAGGAAATTGAAGCAGCAATACAAAACCTCCCAACTAAAACAAGCCCCAGCCCAGTTGGATTCACAGCAGAATTCTACCAGACCTTCAAATAAGTTCTACAACCAATACTTCTTAAATTATTCAAAAAGATAGAAACAGAGGGAGAGCTCCCAAACTCCTTCTATGAAGCCAGTATCACTCTGATATGAAAACCAGGTAAAGACACAAGAAAAAAGGAAAACTTTAGGCCCATTTCCTTAATGAACATACATACACACAAAGATTCTTAACAAAATACTCACAAACTGCATACAGACACACA